ATCAGAGTATACTCTGTGTTATATGACCCTGTTTATCTAACAGTATATAAATGAAAAGCCTGGAAGGCTATGTAACAAACCGTTAAGAGTCTCTCTAGGGAGTAGTATTAGGGAGGACTTTTGCTTTCTCATTATTTGAAAAAAATTTCCCCCAAAAGGTCAAGTATTTCTGGGAAAAACAGTATTTCCATTCTTGAAAAGAAATTTAAAAGTCAGTAAAATCAAATTTCACACCAAGATGGGTGTGAGCAGCAGGGAAATCAGCAATTGCTTCATGAACATGGGAACATGAAACGTGAAATGGCAGCATTCTCTCCTCCCCTCCCCTCTCTTCTCCATTGCACTCTTCATTTTATTTAATTTATTTTTAGCTTCCTGAGAAGGGCTGGAGATGGTATGCTTGGTTGCTCTTCTTTTCCCTTGGTTCTGAGAGTTTATCCATGCCAAGTGGACCGTAAGTGACTAAAAGAATTAACTGCACATCAGAAAACTCAAGGGCCAGAAGCAAGCTTAGGGAGGGTCTAGTTCAGTGACTTAAAAAAAAAAAAGGCTCCCCCTCCCCGCCCCCCGCTTTGGAAAACCAAACCCAAGTGTGGGAGGAGAGCAGAAACCAGAATTCTTGCTCTCTGCTTTCAAACGTGGTTTGAAAGACATCTAATCTAACCCTATCATTTTACAGAAAGGTCTCAGATCTTCTGCTCTTGGCCAGCTATAGCACACATTCCTAAGTCTACACAGGTGACTTCGATTGCATCTTTTCTGGACTTTCAGAGGCTGAGCAGTTCCTGAATTCGGCAAACAGGACATGTTGCAGCTGGGAAAGGTCGCTGCAGGTGAAAGATGCCCCATTTTCTCTTTCCTAGCAGCCCAAGGCCCTTTTCTTTTTCAGGATTTTTTTAGGATTATTAAAACTGGCCCCCATTCTCCCCAGGGGTCCAGAGTGTCATAAGATTCTCTGTCCCCAGGAGTGGGTCTGGGTCAAGGGACATAAGAAAGAGGAACTGAGGAAAATAGTGGCAAGGCAAGGAGCCTTCGTTAAACTCACAGAATTAGGGTTGGGATTAGGTCTGAATCTAGGATTAACTTTCACAGACAATGTTGGGATTAGGATGAAGATGGAGGCTAGAGTTTGGATTGGACATTGGGACTAACTCCAGGGTAGAATGAATTACAATGATGGAAGGGTTTGAACTGGGAGTTAGAGCTGTGGGGTAAGAATTAGAATCTGGGTTGGAGGACAATCTGCTCCCTCTCAGGTCTCTACAAGTGTCTCCTTTTTGGCCATCTCTTGCAGGGCTAAGGTCTTTGGACTCAGTATTACCAAGGAAGCAGCCCTTGTGAGCTCCTGCCCTTGAGTCACACCTGGCTCTTTCCCACACAACCTCAGTTGCTACTTCAAGAGCTCTGGCTGCTGAAGCATTAATATTATCCTTTATTAGACCCTACTGAGCATGTAGATGGCTCCTTTTAGGCCAATGGTGATTGCAAACTACACCCAAGAGTCACATCACAGGTTCATCTGGAACGTAATCTACACTAGGAAATAGTCAAGACAATTATGACAAAAGCACTTCTGTCAATTACCCCCATACTTTGGTCCCCTAATTTGATGATGCCCTGAAATTTTATGTCTTCTCTGAGCTTTCAGCCAACTAAGTGGGCATGTTATAGGAACTGGTTCAAGGGCTCTTCTCATAGAAACCTTGGGAAGATGAACACTGGGTCTCATTTCGTACAACTCAGTGTGATGAAAAGGCTCACAGTGAGTTTCAGTGTCTTCTAGGAAAGGTGTGATAGAAAATCCCCCAGGACTGTCTGAATGGGGTGCCAATTCATATATGGGCTTCACATTGGTTATTTTTTTCCATTCAACAAACATTTATTAATGTCTATCAAATGTGTCCTGGGCATTGTATGTGGGCATTTTTTTGCAGTGAGCAAAACGGACATGATCTTTGGAGAGAAAACACACAAATAAATATTTAATTATAAACCATGATAGGTTCTACAAAGGAAGATAAAATGGGACAACATAATCTTAACTGGGGCTGGGGATTAGTGAAAGCTTCTTTGAGGGAATGCCATTTAATTTTAGGCCTGAAATAGTTTAAGTAGGAGTTAGTTTGTTGGAAAATTCTTGAACATGTCCACTGTTCTTTTTTTTAAAAGATTTTATTTATTTATTTGACAGAGAGAGACACAGTGAGAGAGGGAACACAAGCAGGGGGAGTGGGAGAGGGAGAAGCTGGCTTCCCGTCGAGCAGGGAGCCCGATGCGGGGCTCCATCCCAGGACCCTGGGATCATGACCTGATCCGAAGGCAGACGCTTAACGACTGAACCACCCAGGCACTCCATCACGTCCACTGTTCTTTATGCTTTTTGATTTCAGGCTGCAATTGACTCCTTTTTTGGTCTCTGGTAGATACCTTTGGAATCTTTGTCAAGAACATCACTGACCTTCTTTGAGACCCACAGGCTACAAGGATGGGCCTCTGGCAGTCCTGTATGCATTACAAAACAAAGAGCCTGGACTGGCTCAAAGCAACTTTATCAAGAACAGACAACCTGACATAAATTTGACCAGTCAGGTTCTTTCTCCTGAGAACTGGGATTCATAGATAACTGATTAACTGCTGCTTCTTGAAATGAGGCAAGGCAAGTGTGGACACTTTCCACTGTGTTCCCAGAGCAGCAGTGAAAGCAGGTCTGCAGAGTGAGAGATGGAAGAACATGTGACCAGAGAGAAAAAGAGATAATGAAGGACTAGCTACTTGGCTTCTGTTAGTATTTTAGACCCCTCTTCCAGTCCTTCATGAGATCTTTTTCCTCTGTGTCCTTGGGTTCTTTAAGATTATTTCCTTCTATAAATTATTAATTAATTCATTAATTTTTGCATGAAGTTCCAGTGGTTTACATTTCTTGCAGATGAAAGAGGCTTGACTAAGAGTGGCTTCTTATCAGATTAGCTCTTCCATGCAGCAAACATGGATTGAGTTGGCTTCAATCCCACAGAGACTGGTGGATCCCACAGGTGCACAGATAATGAACAAACATAGTGGCACATATAGAAATAAAATAGCATTTGGTAATAAAATTAATCTGGGTAATACCCTCCAAGGGTTTTGTATTCTCTCCCCACCCCCCACTGGGTTAAGGGTACACATTAGCTATTTTTTTTTTAGGTTTTATTTTATTATGTTATGTTAGTCACCATAAATTATATCATTAGTTTTTGATGTAGTGTTCCATGATTCATTGTTTGCATATAACACTCAGTGCTCCATTCAATATGTGCCCTCCTTAATACCCATCACCGGGCTAACAACCCCCCCCCCAAAAACCCTCAGTTCGCTTCTCAGAGTCCACAGTTTCTCATGGTTGGTCTCCCAGCAGTTAGAAATTTCTAAGAGCTAAACCTTCTGGGGCTAGGTTTTGTGATAAGAGATTAACATGTGTATTTCTTGGTCCTATAATGGAGATTATGAGGGTAGAGGAAGGAGGGACCAATTCTGCCTTGTCAAGAGTATGGAAGGGACTGAAGAGATAACATATGCCTGAATGGGCAGTAGGAGTATGCTGGGCAAGAGAGAAGAAGAGCAGTGGGGCAGAGGGGAATAGGAGGGACAAGGCCTTAGAAAATTTTGTGCACATACTGGGTACTTGGTAGAGGCTTGTAAAAATGAAAACTGGCTAACAAACAGGTAGGCAAGCAGTTTGTAAGATGACAATCACAGTTTATACTAAATTTTCCTTTTGATTTTAGGGTTTCCTTTTCCATATATAAAAGATCATCAAGATGCCAATAGAGAGAAAGAGTCCCACTTAATCTTGGTCTGTTAAACTCAAAGGCTCTTAAGTCTTTCATGAATGTGGCAATTTTATGTCAGCCTAAGTGAAGATTTAAGGGCAATGAGTCCAGTGAAAGCTAGTGTGCTGTATGGTCTCATCCATTCTATGGACTTTTGACAGAAATGTTTATTGAAGGCTTGTGAAAATCCACAAAGTTGAAACTCAATATTAGGAAAATCAGCACTCTCATTTGGGGGTGCGTTGGCTGTAAATGACTTGATTTTTGCAATCACTGTCATCATCATCAACAGCATCTTTAAGAGGATGCTAAGCTAAATGTGATCTTTGCTCTTTAGAGGCCAAAAGAAGTATCATAAATGTTAAGTCCACAAATCATGCACAAATATGATGGCAGATATAGAAATAAAATTAATCTACGTAATACCCTCTGAGGGTCTCGTATTCCCACCTAGAGCCAGGAAGTCTTCCTGCCAAGTAGCAGGGACCTAGAATTTCACCCACAAGGGTCTCAGCTGTGGGCCACCTCTCCAGGAGATATGGTGCAAGTTTCCTTCTCGTTGAAATTTGTCACCAACAATCGCATTCTACTCACGATTGGCTGGAACTCAGAATGAGTTCAAGATCAAAGACATGGAGTGCTGAAGGCTTATTTTTTAGGGGCTCGAACTTCTTTGGTTACATCAATTTTCATCACTGATTCGGCCATAGTTCCCCTCTAAAAACCAAACGTGCCCACTCTAGAAAAAGAGAGATTTTCCTAGTCTAGGCATAGGGAGTGGACTTGCGTCTCTGAGGATGGGGGGCATCTATGAGTGAGGAGGGGCAGGGAACTTGACCGAGACACCACCCTCCCGCCCTTCCTGGGGCGGGGGTGGGGAGGGGCATTTCCCATTAAGTTCATTACTGCCAAGAGGAGACCAGTTCTCCGGGTGGAACTGGAAGAGTGGGTCCAGTGTGGGGGGATTGGGAAGACAGCGATTTCTAGGGGATTGGCAGTAGTGGAGAAATGGTCTCTAGCATCGCCCAGGGCCCGCAGCAGCCGGTTCCGGGCCCTCCCCGCAGATGAAGAGCCCCGCAGCCCCGGGAGAAGCAAGACCCACTTCCGGGTTTGGATGCACTCCCTCCTGGCCCCTCCCAGCACCCGGCTACGGCGTCTCCGGACGCATGCGCAGCACTCGTCTGCCGCTCTGGGACTGGCCTGACTTACCCTAAACAACTAATCCGCTCCTCCCCCTCCCGCTTGGGGCGTACCATTCGCGTTTGGGGGGAGGCAACGCGTCCCAGAGTACTCAGAAGCCCTGCTCCCCTTCTTCAGACGGGGAGAAGGTAAGTTTGCCTCAGATTTTAAAAGTTCCAAGAATACGAGAGCCTCAGAGGCCCGTCGCCAAGTGATAGCCCGCGCTCTCGGCTTTGCCCACAGCCCCATACTCTTCCTTTGAGGCGCTGAACAAAGTGGCACGCCCGGATCCCAGCTGATCAGCTGCTGGGCTTTGGCGGCGGCTCCCCCGGGCGAGACCATTGTGACTCCTTGGGAGGGGTGTGTGAGGAGGGGAGGGGGCGGAGCGGCCATTGTCCGGTCAGCGCAGCCTCCGGGGGAGGGGAGAGTGACGGAGCGAGCGGGGCCCTTGACTTCACAGCGGCCGCTGCTACGCCAGAGCCGGCGGGGGCCTCGGGTCCTTCCCAGCGCCGCCGCACGGGACATCGCTCTGGCTGCGAGCGGCGGTGGGAGCTGCCGAGGGCGCCGGGTCTTCCCTCCTCCCCCGCGGTCCTCGGTTCACCCGTACGCCCCTCCTCCTCAGCTCCCCTCCCTCTCCTCTCCGCACCTCCCCCGGCCCCCCCGTCTCTGCAGGCCGAGTGGTGCGGCCCGCCTCCAGCTGACCGGCCTGGAATCCCGGCTCGGAGCCCCGGACTCGCGCCCGCCCGCGCGCCCGCTCCCTCCCCCTCCCCCCGCCCCGAGCCCCCCGACGCCGCCGCCGTCGCCGCCGCCGCCGCCTCCTTCGAGCGGGGCCCAGGCCCAGCCGCCGCCACCGCTGCCGCCGCCGAGCTCCGCCGCCGCCGAGCACCATGGGAGACGCCGGGAGCGAGCGCAGCAAAGCGCCCAGCCTGCCGCCTCGCTGTCCCTGCGGCTTCTGGGGGTGAGTGTCCGGCCGGGTGGGGGCGGGGGCCGGGGGCGCGGGCGCGGGCGCGGGGGCTGCCCGGGCAGGCCTTGGGGCCGCGGGAGGCCGGAACCCTGGGGGCTGGGCCCTAGCCGGGCCTACTGGGAGGAGGCAGGGGCCGCATCTCGGGGAGGGGCGCTGGGTGGGGAGCTGGAGGTGGGCAGAGAAGGCCCTGCCCGGGGTGCTCTGCCACCCTCTGGGACTCTCCTACCTGAGGTTTGGGCCAACAGGGGCCGCCCGGGCCACGGGTGAGGGGGGCAGGGCAGGAGGGAGGGATGAGGGGGCGGTGTTGGCACCTCCGGGTGGAGCTGGGGTGCCCCTTTCCCTTGGCATGTGGAGGCCAGCCCTCCCTCCCCGCCTTGGTATGAGTTGGTGCCCAGGCACCAGGAGGGTATTTCCTCTGACTTTTTCACCCCCCCGCCCTGTCCCCCAGAGACTTGCATCATCACTTCCTAAATTATATCCCAGTGCCCTATTTGCTTTTAGGAAGCTGTTCACACGTCACCCATTTTTTAAAAATCCAGCCCGGAATCCAGGCTAATGTAAAGTTATAAGACTGTAGAGGTCTCACCTTTATTTAAAACACGTTGCAGAAGATCTGTAAAATTTTCTTGCCTAAAAAAAAAAAATAAATAAAACTCAAGTCAGCCTGGCTTGGGAACGTGAGAGCCAGTTTGCTCAATTGGCACAAATTCCTTTCTCCCCATTTTTTTCAATGATAAAAATATTCACATTGGCCAGCCTGCATTATTACTTGGCCATCCTGTGTTAGAGTGAAAAAATAGGAGGTGGGAAATCAACTTTTCCACATATAGTTAGATTTTAAATTCTCCTTGTCATGCTTGGAGTTTCGTGAATTTACCACCTTTCTTTCCTAACAGGTGCCTCCATCCTACCTTATGATTCTAATTGTATTGTAAAGAAACCAGAGACTTTGAAGGACTTTTGTGATTGAGCCCCTTTTTCTTTTCTTTTTTTAAAAATTTTCCTAAGACATAGTAGATTTCAAGGTGCATAGAGGCAGTAAGGAAATGATTATTTCGGCGAGAACATCTTGGGAAGATGTACTTAAGTATTTTATTTTTGTTACCTCCCAGGTGTTAGGAATGGTTGAGGTACAGATTAAGTCTGATTTGGGGGAGTGCAGAGAAAGATTAGAAAGTGGATCTTAATGTAGTTTTGTGTGGAATTTGTCAAATTCAAAGTTTGCAACAAAGAAATAGTTTCTCATTTTCTCATCTTTCTGCCTTTCTCAAAAAATTCCTGGTGGAAAGAGGTTAGTCAAAAATAAGTTATGGTATTACCAAAAGTTTTGAAGATGTGAAAATATTTTAGGTTTTATAGTCTTCCTAATAATTGGGTTGGCTGCTAAGTGCTTTCACAGGTCATCTAATTCCCAGAAATCTTAGGAGGTAGAACCATTATCTCTTTATAGATGAGGAAGTTGAGGCTTAAGAGGGTGGATAACTTGCCCCTTGCTTACAGGGAGTTCATAGTGGAGCTGGTGAGCTCTCCAGAGTGCTTGGTACCATCACGTTTATGACATCAGTCTACTGCCTTGGAAAAATCTGGTGTCACAAGCCTCTCATTGTAACTCATAAGAAGACATGTGGCTCAAAGAAAGTAGCTGCCAATGGCAACTAATGCCCAGGTTGTATCAGAGGCTTGTTCCCTGGCAACGTTTATGTCGTTGGGACCATTATCATGAGTGGAACCCTTATTGAAAGACTTACAGCAAGATGGAGAAACTGAGGAAATGGAATAGCCTTTTACTTTTAGCCAGCAGAGTTCTGAATAATGCCAAGAAAGTTTGATGTTGCAGGGAGGAGTAGTTAAACTGATCTCATACCTGACCTATAAGCAATCAGGCCTGCTTTTTTGTTACTTTCAATTTGGCCCTTTTTAGGAACTGCAGTTTGCCTAACAGGAGTTGTGAGCACAAAACTAATATTTTTATGTTGAAAAGAGTTCTTTTTTAATGTGTAAGGCTTTAAACTTTTCTAAAGGAGTTTGTAGGTAGCTGTGTAGTTTGCATTTTATACCAAAGTGTAATGATATTGCTGCCTAGTTTCATCATAACTGGCTTTGAACATTGTCTCTTATTATATGGGTCACATTCATACTATGTTCATTAAGTAAACTTGAATATATTCAACAAATAATTGAGTGTCTCTGATACAGTGGTGGACAAGGGGGCACTGGCCCCATCCTCTGGGGGCAGAGGGCATAGAGAAGTAAAGGGACAGAATAAAGTGTGTTAGGATTGGTATAGGGTGCGACGGGAGGGGCACTTAACCTAATTGAGGTGGAGGTAGAGGAAGTTAGCCTGGAGGAAGTGACACCAGCCTAGGCCTGCAGGAAGGCTAGGAGAGAATGGAAATAGAGGAGTTTTTTCATGCGGAGGGAATAGCATGGATGAAGGCCTGGATGTGAGAGAGAGCACTCCACATTTGAGGAACCAGAAGTTCATTGGGGTTGATAGGTAGATTGTGAGGGGGGGATCCACTAGAGATGGCAAGAGAAGCTGGTGATGCAGGACTCTATAGGTAATGCTTAAATCTTTGGACTTTTATCTTAAGTTCACTAAGGAACTATGGGAGAACCTTGAGCAGGTAGTGACGTGATTTTCTTTAACGTGAAAGATTGGATGATGTTGAGAGTGGCCTGGGTGTGTGGGTATGATTGTGTGTATGAATGTGATGTTTTTATGTTCGTGGGGAGTTGCCAGAGGTTCAGAAGTCTTGTCAGGAGGAGTAACCCAGAGTAGGGATGATTGTGTGTAGTAGCCAGGGAGAATGGAGAGAAGTAGGTAGCTGTGAAAGCCATTCAGGAGGTATCTTTTGCCTTTTCCTTTGATGAAAATGAAGGTGAGTGTGTTATCTGAAAACTTCAGTCAGCATTGCATTCTGTGGAAGCCGTACGTCTATAAAGTCAGCTAGCCATGGCCCACACCCAGCCCTTTGCAGAGGAGCCTCTCACCAGAATGTTCTGGCACCAGTAGACAGAAGGCAGTTCCTTAGGATTGCTCTTCTCTGTAGTGACTTAGGCTGCTGGACTTGCTGTTGAGTCAGGACACCAGTCAGTGGGGCTTGGTTAGATAGGAAAGCTGTGAGGTCTTGCTTGTGGGAATGCAATTAGAAAATGGAATGACAAGAGGAGCATACAATGCAAGTGTTTTGAGTGCTTGAACAAGTGAAGTTTCTACTTTTCCTTCTCTTGGTTTATATTGTATAATTGTGTGCAAGTAATTAAGTTATTATTTTATAGAGACCATCTCTCCACTGGGAAGCATAGCTACCTTGGAAATTGTTGAAGATTTACCTCTTTATAAAAGTCGTAAGGTGGGGCACCTGGGTGGCTCAGTCGATAAGCGTATGCCTTTGGCTCAGGTCATGATCCCAGGATCCTGGGATCGAGCCCCCGCATCAGGCTCCCTGCTCAGTGGGAAGCCTGCTTCTCCCTCTTCCTCTCCCACTCCCCCTGCTTGTGTTCCCTCTCTCACTGTGTCTATCTCTGTCAAATAAATAAAATCTTAAAAAAAAATTTGTAAGGTGTTTGCATGGTGTATACAATGTTTTTAGAGTTAATGATCATAGTTTTTTCTCTGAGATATGTACTTAAAACTTTTAGTGAAATGTGAGCGTTTTTCTTGGCTCATTTTTAGGCATTCTGTAATCATGAGAAAAACATGCTAGTTTGTAATAGTCAAATCTGAAGTGAAATAGTATTTTTTTTAGTTGAAATATGCACAAAAGCACTTTTAAACTACACAGGTATAAGTGTTATTAATTGAAGCTACATTTTAAATTGTTCAGATAATTAAAATGTACTAATACATGTAAATTCATAGGTATTTTCAAAAGTTGTTGAAAGAGCAGACATTCTAAAAAAGAGGAAGAAGACTAAGACACTAATATACTGAGTATTGCAGGATAATAAAAAAGGATAATTAGGTAGGATGGGGAAAGATGGACTTTTTTTTTCTAATTTTACTTATTAAATGTAAAAATCCAATTGTTGATATTTTGCTTTTACAGTTGGAGACCATCTCTATTGTAATGTAATACGGAAAATTTTGGGAAGTACTATTTCTTTCATAATTTTAAAGTATAGTATACATAAATGTGCAGTCTCATATTTAGGGAATAATGGAGTATTTAAATATGGAATTTATTTGGTAAACCATTGTTTTTGATAAAAAATAAGCTCTTAATGAATCATGTCATAAAATAAATATTACATGGATACATTTTCTTTAGGGAAATAGATATCAGTATTTTTTGTGATCTGTTGAAGCGTTTTATTCACCAACTAGAGATGCTAGATAATGATGTATTTTAAATAAAATGGGTTTAGGCAGAGATCAAGAGTCCTCTCACAAACTGTATTCCATTCCTGAAGAGGTTACTAGTAGAAAGTTGATTGAAATATAAGATGATTTGTTTTATTCCATTTTACTTTTGGGAATCACAAGGTATTAACTAGTTAGCTTAAATAGAATTCTTATTTTTTTCTTTTTTCTCCCTCTGAGCCCAGGCCTTGGGAATTGATGTAGAACTCTGTTTCTGTCACTTCGTGAGTCATCTGGCTAGTGTGCCTAGCTCTGAACAGTGTGGGGCCCTGGATTCTTCAGTCTCAGTCTCCCAGTTAGAACATGTTGCAACACTTCAACCAGCTTAACCTGGGCTTTCAAGTTCAAGTGAATACAGCATGAATTACTAGATAATCAGTAGAATGTTTATTCCAGTGATGTCACTGATTATCCCTTGATTATAAAGCCCCCTTAAACATTCCCTTAAAAACAAAACAGCTCATTTGTGCAGTTTTACTTTGCATTTTTGAGTTTTGTGCGCACCTGAAGATGTGACATGATATAATGAAATACTCACTGTCAGTATGTTTATCTACTTGCCCTGTTTTCCTGATTGCATTTGGGTATTCAGAAAACATAAAATTTGTCCCTTTGATGTGACGGAACA